TTTGCACGGTTTGTACAAATTGAGTGGTTTGCATTTGATCGATCCCCTATATATATATATGCACTTTATATGTTATCAAGCAGATTTTAATACGACTACCAAAAAAATTTGGCATATGACATATAGAGTTTCTTGAAAATTTTCAACATTGGAAATGGGTCGATTAAAAAACTGGAACTATAAGAGCCTTGATCATGAAATGCACATATAATTCATGTGTCAATCCAAATTTAATTGCTACTAGATTACCTCAAATGATTGTTTAAAGCATCTCTAACAAATTTTTTAAAATAGAAAAAATAAAGATTTAATTAAAGATTTCGGTTAATTTTTTTGCTCCAACATAATGTTCATAATTTTCTCTAAATAGAAGAGAGATGTTAAATTTCCCTTTTGAAAACTCCTTAAAAATGATTATTTAAAACACATAAATGAATATTTATTATTTTCATCAAATAAATACCCTTAAAACTAAAAGTTTTGGGGGAAAATATTTTATTGAATATTGTTGTAATTCCAAAATAAATAAAGTTGGGGTTGAATTTTTTTTTTTTTTTTGGGATTTTGAGTTTTCATTGAGCATATTTGAGAAATATTAAAAAAATATATTGAAAATGCTCTTAATTTCTTAAAAAAAAATTAATTAAAATAGTCATTTTCGCTTTATAATTTCACCTTTTAATCAATTTTCTTCTAAAATCACCAAAATGTCATTACCTTGGCAAATGATAGGTCCACAATTTGCAAAGGGATCAAATTTGTAAAATAGAGTCCGTAAGTGAAACTTCCACCACTTGCGAAGGTGTTGAGACTAATTTACAGACATTTTGACCTCTGCATAAAGTAAGGTGGTGCCACTTGCCAACCTACAACTATTTTAGTTTATTTCTCTTTCTTAAAATGAGAGCGCGATTGATACCGACATTAATGAATAGTCATTTCATGACTACTCCATTGAAGAAATTAATGTTAAACATAAAGACTCAACAACCTATAAATGATATAGGTCACAACGACCTAGGTGGCCCACAAACTATGACTATTATCTACCTATTGTAACAACGCAACTTTGATTTCAAGAAATGTAATCATCCTACATTGTACTGCGATGTCATTACCTGTGACCAATCAACTCATTGGAGGGAGTTTGTCTTGAAGACGCATTGAATTCAATGAATACAAACAACTTTTGAGAACTTGTTGAATTGCTAAATAGTGTCGAATCTTAGATGCAAGTGGATCTTCAAAATCAAATACGATCCAGATGGAAATAGCAAGCATTACGAAGCTCGTATCATTGCTAAAGGATATGGTAAAAAGAAGGGCATGAAGATAGCAAGTATTACGAAGCTCATATCAGAATGTTTCAAATATAACAAACATTAGACAAACAGTTAATTTAGTCCAAGCATATTCAATCAGATATAATTTGCATACCAAAAATAGATGTCATTTTACCATATCATTCACGTTCAAAATTAATAGAAATTGATCGGTACATTCATTTTAATTATTCATTGATTGATGTAACATGCCACACTCTATATGTGTAAGGCAATCCATGAAGGGCCTCTATTTCTTAATATAGATCACCTTCAACGGTCCCAATATAATTAATTGTAACTACAAATATAGTTGTGTTCATATGTATTTCCTAGCTACATATAGTTGCTAAATGATTCATTCGTATGCTCTAAAATATAAATCAAAATATATATATAGAGAGAGAGAGATGAGAAGATCAAAAAATACTAATTATTTAAGAGAATACAAAAACGGTCAAATCACGTGTAAAATCACATATGATTTTAAACTAACGGTAAAAAGAAGGTGCGTTATGGACGAATTTGGCTGCGTCTTCAGGTCGCAGGGGCAAAGTCGCGTGAATCAAATGTGATTTTGTATGTGATGTTAATGTAAAGTCACATTTTATTCGACTGTGTTCTTATTCTCTTAAATAGGTATCGTTCTCGTTTGAACCCGTCTCTCACTATATATAAAGAGAGTCAGGTTAGTGCGAGAGCAATAATTAAATAAAAAACATGAAAACAGCCGAAATTACATTAGATTTTATACTATGATAAACATGTGATACTAAATCAGAGACGATGACAACCTTTGGTGCGACCTATGTTGTGGGCCAAGTCGCCCACACATTAGTAAAAGAAAATTACACATTACACTTTTACAATTAGTTATTTAATTTACTTTACATCTCTTATTTTTTTTTCATTTTTCATTTTTATTATATTAACACATATAATCGTATATTAATTAAAATACATGAAAAAAATACGTTTCTTTTTTTACAAATAACACAATTATAATCGTCTCGTCAATAGGTTTAAAATGAACCCAATATTGAATATGTTTGGATTCAATCTTATATTATTAAATATAATAAAGTTTACGAATTATTGTTAGTACTTATATTTTATACTTTGTATATTATGTTTGTTAATATAACAAAGGTGTAAAAAAATGCATTAAATAAATAACTATAAGGGTAGAATATGTAAGTTTTAAAATTTATTCATACATATTTATAATATTTAATAATATAAAATCAAATTCACAAATATTCAATACTAGGTTCATTTTGTATTGATGAGACGATTATAATGATGTAATTTATAAAAATCGAAATGTATTTTTTATGTATTTCAGTTAACATACAATTATGTGTTGTAATATAATAAAGATATAAAATGAAAAAAAAGTAATGGGTATAAAATAAATTAGACAAGGATGTAAAGTGTAAAAATAGTTTACCAAAAACAAAATGAAGTATGCATAAACTCTCTTTGGTAAATTACTTTTACACTTTACATCATTCTAATTAGTTGTCTAATTTATTTCATATTCTTTATTTTTTTTAATTTTTCATTTTATACTTTTATTATATTAACACACATAATCATATATAAATTAAAATACATAAAAAA